TTAATATTATAATTTCTTTATAATATTTCTCTTTATTAATAAAATCACATAATATTATATTTTATAAATTCTTGACTCTATAATATTAATAAAAAAGAAAAATATCTAAAAATTTTGTTAATTTTAATTTCTAAACTAATTTTAAATACATAACTATAACTAGTCAAGTGAATTAAAATATTTTATCAAAAATTTAAATTTATCTTATTTATTAATTATTATTTATATTTTAAAATTATTAAATATTAATATTAATATAAAATTAATAATTATATTAAAATAATGTAAAAGATAATTTATTTTATGATATTAATAAAATTATTTTAGTTCATATTTAATATTTTTTTTTTATAAATATTATTTTAATTAAATATTAATTGTAAATAAAAAATATTATTTTATTTTATATATCTTAATATTTATTATAATATTATTTTTTAAGCTTTTTCTTTAAAAACTTTTACATTAAAAATTATTTATAAATTTAAATATATATTTAAAAAGATTTATTAATATTTAAATTTAATAGATTAATAAAACTTATATTAATATTAAATTTAAATTATACTAAACTATTAAAAACTATAAAAATTTTATATTTAATTTATAAAGACTTTTACTATTCTTTAAATAAAAAAGTTAAATTAAAATTGTTTAAAAACATATACAGATAAAAAAGAAAAAGCATATAAGAAAAAATCTATATATATTTGACCCCTATATAGTCATTTCCTATCCCCTTTTATTAATACTAATTTGTTTTGTATTAACTTATAAGTAACTTTAATTCAAGTTATAATAAAGGTACTGTACAAAATAATCAAAATTAATAAAATTTTAAGTTTCCAGATTATTTAGTAAAGACGATCACGAGAGTAACTTTCTTAAGTAGTGGTTAATTACTTCTGTAAATTAAAGTCGAATTTATAATGACTAAATTTTAAAATTTGCGGGTATGATAGATATTATACATATTAAGGATCGATCAGTATACTTGCAATTAGGACATTTGATTAATGATTTTGGGTATAGAAATTTATTGGGCATTTTTGGTTGAGGTGGGTCACTTAAAGTAATGCTTGGAAATCAGATTACAATGCAAAGGTTGAAATCAGCTTCTTGAGATTCGCTCAAACTCGATCAAGAATTAAAATTTTTAAAGAAAATAATTTTTTTTTTTTTAAATTTCATAAATTTTGATAATTACCTCACTTCAATCTTTCATAAAAAAAAACTTCTAAAAGATTTTCTTACTTTACATTGATTAAACAAAAATGGTTCACAAATTGTCAACTAATATTATATCTATTGTCACTGAATCAGTATCATTTCTTATTTATCGAACGACAAAAGAATATAATATATATAATCAGAAATATACCTTGCAAACATTCCAAGATTCCGACACTCCTCAAGAGAAACATTCCATTTTTTAGAAATGTAATTGATGACAAAATTAATGTGTCTCTCTAAATCATGTCCTATTAAAAGAATTTAATATAAACCCACCAATTCAACATATCGCTTTCATTACTCCCATGATATAAGTTTGAGAACTCGTAAATTTTATCTTTTTAAGACTCTGATTGGGATTTATTACCCTGTATGTATATGACTTGAATTCTTCAATAGTTCATAATTTGTTGAATTGACTTTACTGCAAGCTCACTTGCGTACTGGCATAATATGGGCTATCTTTAATTTATTAGAAAAATAAATACGATAAATTGTAAAATTAGATAAAGATAAAAACGACATAAACAAAATATACCTTATGTTTATTAACTGTTCCTCAGTATTAAAGGCCGGTTCCTCCAGTATTATGTAATAAAAGTTATGGACAAAATTACCGTTACCAGTTAACCACGTTACGGTTTACCGTTTCACAAATTATTCAAATTATTAAATTTGTCTGGTGGCTTTAATTTGAACAACGGTACACGATCAACGATCAACGTTACATCAACCATTTAAAAGCCTGCCAATTTTTTTCCCTTTTTTTAAAAAGGAAAATGACTTGTCAACAACTTTCTGCAAAATGCTTAAATAACGTTCTTGAATATTTTGAAAATGACAAGATATCTTTACATTCATACTTGCTAGTTAATCATCTTTGGTGTCAAACGTCAGTTAAAATTTTATGGAGAAATATTTGGGGCTTTCGATATAATTTACTTTCCAAACCTTACCAGACACATGTTCCGTCAGCAATCCTTGGTACTTTAATTGCTTGCCTACCCGATGAATCAAGAGACCTCTTATACGCAAACGGAATTTTTATTCCAACACCTACCTCGAAACCGCCATTATTTAATTATATATCATTTAGCGAAGTCCTTTCAATTCGTAAAATCAATCAAATTATTGACGAATCTTTAACAAATCAACGAATCGACACTTCCCGAAGCTTAAACTACAACAAATACCTGCTATCACAAGAATTATTAAAGGCTTTTATGAATCATGTTTCATCCCTAAAATCCTTGGATTATGGTTTAGAATTATTAGAAAAAGTTCAAAATGTACCCTTCATTTATTTCCCTGGAGCAAAGGATTGTTTAACAGATCTATCATTGTTGATTTGTGATTCAGATATTGAATCTGAATTCTTTTATCAATTCTCTCAAATATGTCGTAATATACGAACATTAAGTATAATATTTAGAAACAACGTTTCAAAGGGGTTAAAAGAATTAATCTCATTACAAAGAAACTTGGAACATTTAGAATTATCCGCTTCCAATAGCCAAGCTTGGATTGAAATTATACCAGCCTTAGAAAAGCATTCTAAAACGTTAACAACTTTACATATTCATGGTGATATCATACCCTTGACATTTATCAATTTGTTCAAAAATTTAAAAGAACTTGTCGTTCCGAATTCTAATCAAATTTTTAATGAATTACAATATGTTACAATTCCCAAACTACGGTCCTTGAGAATCTCTACCTTCTTTGATCCAGCATATATTATCTTTAGTGAAATTATGAGGGATGATCTTTTGGTCAAATTTTTAGAGAACAATGGAAAGCACCTTAATGAATTGTACATAGATAGTATTAACAAATCATTAAAATTATCCATTGCACGATTTTGTCCAAATCTTAAAAATCTTTACATAATATTTAAAAATAATGAGTTGAATTTATTAAAATCCATATTCTATAATTGTCAACATTTAGAAAGTATTAAAATTTGGCGTGGTGGAAATTATATCAATGAAAAAGAAATGTTGGAGGTCTTTGCAAAACATTCACCAAAAAGTTTTCATGAATTGAAGATACATAATCGTGTACAATCAGAATTACTTCCGAGAGATTTAAGGTCCTTTTTAAAAAGTTGGAGTAATCGAATACCGCAAAAACCATTAACTTTGATTATTGAAAATTATGATGATGATTATGGTTTAGATGTAAATGAAGAGAATATTCAAATAATTGAGAAATTTAAAACTTTGGGAGTTATTAAGAAGTTTAGGATCGAAAAGTTTGATGAAAAGGATTAGGCAATTACTTCATTTATTCCAAGATCGATCTCATATATATATATATTTGTTTTTATTGAAAATTGTACAAAATAAAATTTTAATTTAAAATACTAGCGTTTTCAAATTCAAATTTTGTCACGTGCGCCGTCAATGACCATAATGTTGTCATCATTAAAGTATATCACGAAAGAAAAACTCGCAATAATCAATATGTAAAAATGTAATTATTATAATCAGGCCTTGCTTTCAATAATACATTAGATTTTAGATTAACAAAATTTATCTAGTACTAATTCCGATATAATTGCTAAAATTTAGATTTGCCTTATAATAAGCTTCTCACTAACATTTTTATACTTTTATAAATTCTTCCCAATTTCTTCGCTCCAAATTTTACAAAAACATTGTCTCTTTCATGCAGCAGCTCGTTTTTTCCAAAAAAAAAAAAACAAAATAAATCTTTTGGACACAGCTCTCTGAATAAATAAATTTTTCTTTGTTGTTTTTAAGAAAGCGAGGCGTTACATTGTTTTTTTTTTAGGTTAAAAATGTATTTATTTACAGTTTTAATTTGTTTGAATGCTAACTTCAACCGAAGTTATTAAACTTTAAAGATTTAGGATTTTTTTCTGGGAAAAATGCAAGCCGTGCCCGTCAGGTTAAAAAAAAAGCTAATCAATGAAATGGGTAACAAAACTATCAAAATTAAGCAAAGAATAAATTCAATTAATTTATTCAGTTCAATTACAGCTATCGCTATCCTAAAGATCCAAATGAAGGAAAACCTATTTTTCCAAACTTTCAAAATAAAGCATATAATTATATATCAAAAAAATCAACTTTCAAGAAACAAATAACAAGTTGGAAACCAAAATTAAGCAACATAGTGACAAATCAATATGCAATTACTTTATGTATTTCTGATACTGCTTTTAAAGGAAAGTATTTTCAAATGAAAGCAAGTATAGTTTAAATACCTTTTGGCTTGCTACCAGCAATAAATTCGCATAGAAATTTCTGCAGATTCACGCTCATTCTGAAGCAAATCTCTTACTTGGCAAAAATTCTGGATATATATAGGTTATAAGTATCCAACATATTCTGCAAAATTTCACCATTCAAATTATTTATAGCGTGAAGCCTATTGTTATTTTCATGATCAGTGTCGTAGATATAGAGCTGTGCAAATATCGGGTTTTGACCTTCATCTGGTAACAAAGATCCTATGCGATGGTATATTTGGCCATAAATTTTAAAATTTGATAACCTCGACCTTGAAATCTTTCCTCAAATATTATAACCCAAAAGATAAGCAAGCTAAAAGTCCGTGTATGTCGAACACGTGTGTAACAGCCAATTAAATTTCAGGAATTCATGAAGATCATTCTAGAATTCGTTTCCTTATTTGGTAAATTCACTGTCTGAACTGATTAACTAATCAAATATATTTGCGTGTGAATCGAATTTTCCATAAAAAAGTTCTTATTTTGTTATTTTGTGAACTGTGAAATCATGGAGCATAGAGAAAATGAACCCATGTCAGAAACGGCTATTCTCCCGTCGGTCGGTGTAAGGAAAGAATGGAAAAAGGATAACGTAATTAATCACTTTCTTACATAGAGAGGAATTGAACTTAGACCTTGACGAAGAAGACATTGAGATAATCAGAAGTAAAAAAGTTAGTGGTAAAGACTTTCTCGGCTTGACGACAGAAAAACTTGAAAATTATGGATTGCAGCCAGGGCCGGCTTCTAGGATTGCAGAGCTGGTCAAGGAAATCAAAGGCGAGAAAGGTATGTTACAAGATAATAAAGCGTAATTTTTTTTCGTCTTCTAAGTCATATTTGCCAATAATACCGAACATTTACATATTCTTGTGCTTTTCCTTCCTGCTTCTTATCGTTAAACTGCCCACAAAATGCATTCATGTTATCGTAGAACAAGGTAAGTATCACGACTGTATTAAAAATGTGCCAAACCTACACTTCTTTTCTCGTTGTCCTTTCATTTTTCCATTACTAACATCTCTTATCCTCTTTCCGCCTTTGTTAGACGCCCAGATTTCTTCCCTCGCTGAAATCATCAACACTAAGATGGATAAACAGCAGGAATTTATGTCCAAGATATATCAATTTATAACGGAAGAAAAAAAAAACGGTTGCATACTCGACTATTAATAAAGAGAACTTCGATAGCTTTCTTAAGCACATTAATTTTAAACTAAGTGCTGTGGAATTTACCGGAACATTGCCAAAGAATGATATAGAACCCTACGAATGGAATGATTACACTGATAGTGACCCAAACCAACTGGAATTGATATCTCAATACTTAAACCAACACCTAAAACCAAACCTTCCAAAAGATTATGTTGTTTTTAACGTTGCAAACCATTCGACATTACTACCGAAAATTCTCCTTTTTCATTCAAGATCAAAGGCGGAACTGACTATGTGGTGGTGGAACAGAAGTATATTGATAACTTAATTCTAAAGCTGGAACTCGGACTATCTTAGAGTTAAAGAAAGTGCTGCAGGAGCAAAGCATATGGCAAGCTATTGCAGAAATGGTCGCAGCAGACTTTTTGACGAACGAAGAGATTAAGGCTATCGGTGTATTAACAGACCTGAACGAACGCTGGCACCTTTTTTGGTTAGAAGAGGGGAAAAAAATCATGATGGTCAAATTATCGCATCGTAAAAAGGCGTTGGATATTATTAGTAGGATGGTTAAGATGATGCGTGTGCCGGGTTTACCTGGAGGGCAACGTATAAAGATTTATGATAATGTTTATACACAAGTTGATGATATTGCACCATTAGAGGTAAATTAATTTAGATAATTTATTAATGCTTATTAAAGAGATTATAATTATGAATACATATTAATTTAGGATTTTTATGAGGAGATAAGTGAGGAAGATATACTAAGACATAAAACGAGAAAGGCTATTGATTTAATTATAAATAATCCATTATTTTCGGATGTATTTTCTGGGTTTACTAATTTACCCCCACGCTATGATTGGCTGTTATAATTGAGATTAGTTAGGGTTAGGGTTAGTATTAGAGTTAGGGTTAGGTGTTAGGTGATTTGTCACCGGCGTGACACTGGTGATATTTCAATTTTTATTATATTTCTGAGGGACTTAGAATTTTTTTTCGGTGGGTGATGCTTATTTGTCACGCTATGGGTGTTATAAAATAAGCATAATCATAGCGTGAGGGATAAATTAGTAGACCCGTATTTTCTAATTCTGTAGTCAAATAAATTTTTTTAATAACTAGTATGGCTTCGAGATGCCACTCTTTTTTTTTTATTTAAATTAATTAAAGAGGAAATAGGGATTTACATTTATGTGGTACATCGATAATATTTTGTGTTATGTAAGATCAGATGTGTGGTTATATGGGTAGAGAGTTTTTGAAACGTTTTCTAGTCTTTCGTATTCTTTAACTACATCTGGGTTGGTTATGAAGGCTTCTTTGTTGAGTGTTAAAATTTAGATATTTTTCCAGTTTGGGTATCTGCTCAGCGTGATATACACTTGTTCAGGTAAGAATATTTGGTTTAGATTAATAGAGATGTGATTTCGGGTTAGTCCCTGGGTTTTATATACAGATAGAGCATAACAGTTCTGGAGTGGGAATTGGTGGTGGCTAGCTTGGTTTCTATTGATTGTAAAGTGGCTGGTGGTTAGTTTGATGTTTATACAGATCCTAGCAAAAGTAATAGCACTCAGTTTTTTAATAATTTGTATGCAATTTTATAATAAAAAATCAAAAAAAATTTTTATTTCTGAAAGACCGACCAAAATTACATATATTTTATTAATTAATTAATATTTGGTATGGTCTCCTTCTACGTCAATACATGCTTTAATGCGACTTGACATATTATTAATACAGTTAACTATTGTGATGTTTTCAATATCATCCCATTCCTTCCTAATTAAATTTAAAAAAATTTCTTTTGAGATTTTTTTCCTTTGTGTCACCATTATCTTAACCTCTTTTACAACATTTTTCTTTAAAATAGCCCAAATATTCTCAATAGGATTAAGGTCAGGGCTATAGGAAGGCCAAAAAAGAACCCGACCCAGAAGGTGTATTTTCAAGTCACCTTGAACATCACAAGAAGTATGTTTTGAGTTATTATCTTACTGAAAGACCCATCAGTTACCATGTATTACACTTACATTATCATAATATTCATTCAAAATTTGGCAGTATAAATGACAATCCAAATTTTCAGTAAACATGTATATGCCAATTTTTCTCTTAATGCTGATTGCATCCCAAACATGAACTTTAATAGGTATTTTACCATTGGAATAATAGGTTTTTTGTCACGTGACCATGCTGAAAAGGTATTACAGAACATTTGAAGTATAGTTTTATTAGAAAATACCACCTTTTTCAATTATAATTCACGTGATTACAGGCCTAAAACAACCGGTTCTCTTTTGTTTTCTGTATCAAAAGAGAAACTTTTCTGAAATAAACAGATACGAATCTAAGATTTTTAGCTCATGACGAATGGTCTGTTCACTAACTTTAAGCTCTGAGATTTTTTCTTTAAGTTAGACCTTCATTTCACTTGCTGTAGTAAAATGATTATGTTTAACGATCATTTCAATTTGGCGACATTTTTTAGGAGTTAATTTTCGTGATCGATCAGACTGATAATCTATAATAATCTTACTAATTTTCTTTAATGAACTAACATAACGATAACAGGAGCGTAAGGGAATACCAGTTATTTGTGAAATTTCTCTTGCATTTCAGATTTTTCGCTGCCAAAGAAGGTTAACAGCATTTCAGTTTTTTTTAAGGATGGTTAATACCATTTTAAATGAAAAACATAAAGAAATTCATTTTTTTCTACAACTTTTGTTTGTTTGTTTATTAAATATTATTTATAAAAAACATTCTAAAAATACTGGAAAATTCTAGAGTGAAAAATGAACATGCTACAACTCAAAAAACAAGCAGCACTTGTAATGCTATTACTTTTGCCAGTGACTGTATCTATTATTTTACCTAGTATATTAAATAAGACTTGTACTAGGTTTATTTTAGTGTCAATATTTGTGATAATTCTAATTGTTCTGTTGCAGATTTTTAAGTTTATTTTTGAATTGCTAAGAAATATATCTTTTACGTCTTGTTGAAGTTGAACTGATAAGAAGAGATTTGTTTTTGAATTGAATGCTTTTTCAATTATATTCATATTGTATTGATCTCTTTGTTTATTGTATCAATTGCTTGGAAAATTATGAATTTTTTTAGTTATTAATAGTGCTTTGCAGATTAGTTAGTTTATTTTATCAGTAGTTTCACAGTATTCCACTATATTTGTGGTGTTGAGTAGAAGATCAATTGGTTTGTTAGTGTTAAATTATTCATACTTTTTTTGTAGTTTTTTTTAGATTTTGTCCGTTATGTTTCTTAAGTGAATTTTTTTTAGCATATTGTAGAATTCTGATTGTTCTTCTTAGCGTTTAAGTTGATATAGGAAGAGAGGATAAAATAATTTCCATGTTGATGATTTGAATATAGGTGATCCAGTTATGGGTAGTAATTATGCTAGGTTTCCAGTGATTACAGTGCTGATTTCTCTGAATACTAAGGCATTCTCGTATATGATAGCGAAGGTATTTGATATAAATTCTAAGAGTTTTTTAATAACATTAAAGAAATTTCGACTATTATTATTATATCAACTTTTTTGAGTTTTTCTTTTAGTTCATTATTGTAGTTGCTAGAATTCAGTATTTTATTTGGTTGATAGTTATTCTTAATTCAGAATGAATTGTACTTTTTCCTATGTTTTGTATAGCTATGCCTGTGAGTGCCATTAGGAGATAGTTGAAGTATCATTTTTTAATGAGTTTATTAGAAGGTGAATAATATATGATTTTCCTGTTTCTGTAGATCCTGTGATAAAAAAATAAGATTATTTTTCTCTTCTTACAATACTAATCGCTTTCTTATCACATAATTAGAAAAATCTCTTTAATTAACCAAGTGTATAATACAAATCAAAATTAATTTAGCAGGCATGATAATTCAATCTTTACAGTTCATATAGGAAAAAAATTAATTCTCAAAAGGTTTATTTTATATTTGTTTTTTTTTATTTATTTATCTAAAAAAAAAGGATTTTTTTTCTTATAATTATTTATTTATTATAATTATAATTACAAATAATTCTTTACAATTCTAATGACTTCATATGATTCAGATAAATAAAGATTTTTTTATTATAAGAAAAAAGAAGTTAAGAACATTTTAAAAAAAATTAGTGAAAAAAATGATTAAATTAGTTATGATATTTTTGTGATCATTTCGTCTGTATTGTTTCTTTTGAATTTGATAAAAGAAATGGTTGTAATATTTCTGAATTAGTTATAGTATTCCTGTGATTTCTTTTTAAGAAAAAAATTAGTGAGAATATGGCTGAATAATATTTCTAAATTAGTTATAGTATATGTAAATAAAAAAATTTTTTATATGTTAATCTATTATTTGTAATAGCTATAAGCATATAACTAAAATTTTAAGATTATAAATAAGTTTAAATAAGCTTAAATAAGTTTATATATTATATATATTTTTTTCTTTAGACGCATATAAGACTAAGCAACAAAAAAGGTAAAAAAATAAATTAACCAAATATTGAATTACTTAGTTAGTATAATATTTTCAAAATTATAGATCATATTCATTTTAAAGTAAAATTAGTTATTATTAATTAATCGTGTTTATTTCATATATAAATGCTATATTTCTAAGGATTTTCACAGTGTTATCATCACTGGATGATAAAGGTATCTATTATTATATATTATGTTTACTAATATACAATTAATAAAAAAAATAAAACATTTTTAATTATATAGATATAATATAGGTTAATTAAATCATATTTATTAGATAAATTGTGATAATTAGAGTATATATAAGAAGTTTTCTAGGAAAATGAGGTTTAAGAATTTTTTTTGATTAAAATTAAAATCTTATATTAAAAACTAAAATACAATAAAAAATAAAATTTTATTTTCTAGCAAACTTCCCATATATATTACCTAGAATATATTGTGATAATTGGATCATATATGTGATATCTAAATTATATTATAATAATTAAATTATATATATATTACTTAGATTATATAATAATAATTAGTTTATATATATATTATCTATGTCAATGTTAGCAAATGATTTTGAAATAACCTTAAATGATCTCAAATGATATTATTTTTATTATAAATTTCAAGTCAAAATAACCAAATGTCATTTAAAAATAGTAAATGATTTTATAATTTATTATTACTGACCTAGGTTATATTATATTATTAATTACCTAATCTAAGTAATATATTTAATGTGATATATTACTTATAAGAATATATATAAAATAATTTTTTTATTTTTAATTATTTATATTTATATAGTTTTTACATTATATTTTTTTAAAAGTTTATTTATATTTTCAATTTATAAAAATTTGTTTGATTTTTTGAAAGGCTTGAATAATTAAATTATGTATTTTATATATTCCTTCTTCATAATCAATACCTAACATTATACAATTTATATAACTAATAGTATGTAATCTTGTGATTTTGGTCTTATTATTGTAGATATAAAAAAAGATCTTTAGATAATCTCTTATATAAAATATCTTATAATAGGATTTATTTTGACTAAAATATCTTAAATATAATACAAATTCTCAAATTTTAGGGTAAGGAATATTTTAATCAAAGAAGAGAGTATAAATATATTTGCTGAAATCAATAAATATATGACATATTGAAAATTTAAAATTTTTCTTTTGCTTTCTTTTTAATCATTTAAAATAGTTGAATTTTTTAATTAATCTAAAAAATAAGCTAATGAGTAATTCAAAAAAAAATTTCAATTAATATTACTAATAATTTTTAGTAAATTCAAATACTACCTTTTAAATATATCAAATAACTTAAATTATATTTTCAAATACAATACATTTTTTTAAACTTTGGTA